AATGTGGCAGGATGGGGGTCGAGAGAGCACTTCAAAAAGCCTGCAGTATCCTAGGCTTCATTAATAGGAACACAGAGTACAAGAGGAACAAGGTGCTGCTGAACTTGTATAGAGGGACTGTCTTACGAGGTGAGGTTGCATACGTGGGCCTGTACTGATTGGAATTTGGAAGAATGAGAGATGACGTTATTGAAATGTACAAAATTCTGAGAGAACTTAACAGGGAGAATGTGGAAAGATGGTTTCCCCTTGTCAGAGAGTCTAGGACCAGTGGGCATAATCTAAGAATAAGTGGCCACTCATTTAAAACATAAAAGAAGAATTTCCTCTTTGAGATCCCCCTCATTCTTCTGACGTCCAGCAAATACAATCCTAAATCGATCCAATACTTTCTTATATGTCAGTTCTGTGATCCCAGAAGTCAATTTGGTAAACCTTCATTGCACTCCCTTTATAGCAAGAACATCCTTCCTCAGGGAAGCAAACCAAAACTGCACACAATATTCTGGGTGTGGCCCCACCAATTCCCTATATAATTGCAGCAAGATATCCTTATTCATGTATTCAAATCCTCTTGCTATGAAGGCCAACATAGTTTACCTTCTTTACCAAATAAAAACTGAAAGAACTGCGGATGCTGTAAATCAGGAACAAAAACAAAGTTGCTGGAAAAGCTCAGCAGGTCTTGCAGCATCTATGAAGGAATAAAGACTTAACGTTTCGGGTCCAGTGACCCTTCCTCAGAAATGAGGGTTAATTCTGTTTATTCCTTCACAGATGCCGCCAGACCTTCTGAGCTTTTTTACTACCTACTGTACCTGCACAAGTACTTCCAGTAACTGGTGCATGAGGACACCCAAGTCTTGTTGAATGTTCTCCTCTCTCAACTCACAGCCATTCAAACAATAATCTGCCTTCCTATTTTTGCGACCAATGTGAAAACCTCACATCTATCCTCAGTAACAGGAAAAGACAGGGTACATAAAGGTAAACTATTGCCACTGGTTGGTGATTCTAGAACAAGAGGCTTTGTCTGAGAATTAGGACCAGATCATTCAGGAGAGATATTAGGATGGCAGTGGTTTGGAGCTCTCTTTCACAAACAGCATTGGATGCTAGACCAGTTCTTAATTTTAAATCTGAAATAGATTTTTGTTAAGGGATATGGGCCAAAGGCAGGTATACGGAATTAGGCCACAGATCAGCCATAATCTCATTCAGCGATGAAGTGGGCTTGAGGGGATGAATAGCCTACACTTTTTTCTATGTTCTTATTGTTCTGCACTTGTCATGCATTTGCTTCCTCACTCAACCTGTCTAACTCACACTACAGCACCTCTGCATCCTCCTCGCAACTCACCCTTCCACCGCAGCAAACTTGGAAATATTTCGGATTTCTCTTTTCTGAAGAAGGGTCCAGACCCGAAACGTCAGCTTTCCTGCTCCTCTGATGCTGCTCAGCCTGCTGTGTTCATCCAGCTCTACACCTTGTTGTCTTAATATTACATTTAGTTCCTTCATCTAAATCATTAACGTTAATTTTTCTTGAAAACAATGTTTTGGCTTCTACCGCTTTCTGCGGCAGAGATTTCCACAGGTTCACCCACATCTCTCCACGTCTTAATCCGAAATGGTTTCCAGTCCGGTATGACTCCTACTGAGAGTCAGTGTAGTGATTTAAACCTTCATTGGGATTGATTAATTAATGAATTATCTCGGAAGTATAGGATAGCAGTTTCGCTGCAAATTGAGGGTATCCTTGCCCATGGAATGCCGACGCAGATTTCCATGACTAAAGCACCAATTAACGCCTGATTCACACATCGTCCCAGCTAATCACCACAGGAGGCTCCTGAATGTGGGGTTTAACTGCACAGGGAGAATTTCTGCTCCTTTCTCTGCTGTTTCAGGATCCCTGCATGGACCAACTTTCTCAGAATTTCCACTTCCAAACCAAGCCATCTGTGGAGATGGAGGATTGCTGCTTCGGACAGGGAGCTGGTTACTGCAGGAGGAGTGCATTCAACTGCGGCCAGACTCACATCAGCCCCAGGGATTTCCGGGGAAGTTCAGGCCAACACGCGGAGGGCGAGCCTTGGAACCCAGGTAAGGGCACAGTAATAACCGGGGTCCGAGCCTGAAACCCCGGGAGAGTGGGTTCATACACAACACGACTCCCGACTGGGAACATCCAATCAGCAACTTTTCATACGGGAATCGGGGAAAAAAAAATCCCTCCTCTTCCAACAGGATTGGCTCTTTGAAAGGGCCGGCATAATCACGGTGGGCCGAATAGCCCCATGATACGTCGCTCTAATCTCCGCGATGCTCTCTACATTGGGATACAGGCAGTTGGATGCGTTAGGCTGGTGAATATCGGCTGCATTGTCCTGACTGCTGGGATTTACTGGGCCTGACCCACTACCCGGATCAAACCGAGATCCTCTCTGACAGTCAGTGTGCAACTTCCCCTCCCCTCCCCTCCCTCATCCTTGCCGGCAGTGGAGGAGGCTGCTCAGCCCATCGTCCCTGTACTGGGCACGGCTCATTCCCCTCCTGACTTGTTAAGCATGAGCAGGGAGGGAACTAAGAATTGGGTGGGCAGTACATTGGCGGCGCCTGGGTGTGTAACCCGTACTGTTGGGATGTGGAAAAGAGTCAGTGTGGACAGAATTCACTTAGACCCTTCCTCTGTGTGTGTGCGCACTGCAATCTCTACATTCAGAGAATTGGGACTGGCACATGTTCAACATTTGACTGGTCAGAACAAGGAGACTGTGTTTCTCACCCATTTCCCTTTTCTCAATGACGGTACAAGCTAATTGATGGCCGGGGGCGAGGGTGTAGTTGTAATCTCTGTCCATTATCTTCTCCAAATTGTCACTGGGTGACTCTACAACTCCGTCAGAAAGAGATATCAAGAACTGCAGATACTGGAGTCAGAACTGAAGAATGGTCCAGACCCGAAAAGTCGACTTTCCTGCTCCTCTGATACTGCCTGACCTCCTGTGTTCATCCAGCGCCACACGTGTTATCTCCGTCAGAAAGAGGCCATTTTATCCGTTGCGTCTTCTCAATCTCCGTAGCCATTAGGTTTACGGCGCAACGAGCGGCCACTCTGACCGTTGTGTCTGTACTAGCCAAGAGAGCAGCTTGATCCCACTTCCAGATGTGATTGCACCCCTGCAGGTTGCAGGGTTTGAGGGGCATGTCCAGATGCCTTTTTAAATTGAGTTGAGGGTTTCTGACCCGGCTGCCCTTTCAGGCACTGAGTTCCAGCTGGCGAACACCCTCTGAATTAAAAAAAAATTCTCATCTCTACTCGATTCTTTCTGTCAGTCACTTTAAATATGTTCCCCCCCACCCCCTTCCCTCCACTCCTGGGTCACTGAGCCCTCTGCTAAGGGAAACAGGACTCAATCATGCCACCTGTCTCTTTCTTCACAAGAGAGCACCCTCAGCCTATCACATTTTTCTCAGCTACATGGCATGTAAAGAGGCCCATTGGTCCATCACGTCTATGCTGGTCATCAAGCATCTACCTAATCTAGTTCCCTGTTCCAGCATTGTATGCTGTAGCATTCCAAGTGTTCATCTAAATAGTTGAATGTGGCCTTTTCCAGTCATTCACCATAATTGACTAAGCAGCAAGGTTTTGTGTTGTCTGCAAAGACTCCACTGGAAACAGTCTTCCAATTACAAAGGCACAATCAAGTTACCATGTCCAGTCGCTATTTCAAATCCATCCAGTTTCCTCTTTAAAGACATACTTACTCTTGGCTGACCTCTGATAGAATCCTACATAGTCATGCTGTGGAAGGAGCTCAGAAGACTTGCCGCACCTCTACAGTAGACATTCAAAGTCCCTAATGTTGTGAGGACATGGCTTGGAATCCCATCACATCAGATGGTGAAATTTGAATTCAATAAAAATAAAATCTGGAAGTAAAAGCTAGCCCTAATGGTGACCATGATGTAACCACAGTCAGTTGTCATAAAAACCTATCTAGTTCACCAAAGTTCTTTCGGAAAGTAAATATGCCCATCCTCACCTGATCTGGTCTACATGTGACTCCAGACCCACAGCAATGTTGTTGACTCAACTGCCCTCTGAAATAGCTTTGCAACCCAATCAGGACAATAAGGGATTAGCAATAAATGCTGCTGCAGATCATGTGATGCCCACATACCAATAATGCAATGTCTTCTCTCCTGACACACTATTCAAGCTTACTTGCAACTTTAATTTGGCTCTTGGTCTCTGACTTGCCACTAGTCTTTTCCTGCCCGTTCTATCAACATTCTTCATTCTGTCAGCCTTCTTCATTCCCCAACCATCAGTGGAACTTTGTAGCTATTATTTCCCATTGGTAGTATCATCCTGGTGTAATCCTACACTGTCACTTTTGATAATGGGTTTTAATTAAAACTGTGCCAGTAAAATAACTGGCCTCAATATTGTCCTTATTTCTAAATTGTAAACTTTGTCCTTCTATGTTTAAGTATCTGTTCGGAGGTGAATATTTAAACCGTCATCCTCCTTCCTATTGCACTCTAATAATTTTCACCCAAAAGAACAGGTCTCAGAGAATCATGGCTATAATTATAAGCCCATTTTCCTTCTTGAATATTTATTCATGCTGCTCAATTTTTCCCTTCAACCTGCTACCCGACCTTTATCCCAGAGTTTCTTGGGATATGTAATGAAAAAGTCTTCTAACATCTAAATAGATCTTTCGAACATTCCTTATTAAATATTGATGAGGGTGCTGTCCTACTCTTCCAGTGGTGCCACGGACTATCAACGTCTCTCATAAAAGGTAGCACCTGTAGCAGGGTGGTACCTCCCTTAGTATGCCTTGATTCAATCCACCCTGCAGAGCTAGAAACATAAACAGAAATTGCTAGAAAAACCTAGCAAGTCTGGCAGTTTCTCCAGCAATTTTTATTTCTCTTTTTGTTTCAACAGTCCAGCATCTGCAGAACTTTGTTTTATCCAAAGGATTAGGAGTTGGACAGTTTGAGGCATTTCCAATCAAGCCACTGATGAGCAGCATTGGGTACCTGTTATTCTTCTCCAGTGAGAATTTTCCTGTTGATGACAATAATAATTAGTTTACGGGATCCCAAATCCCACAATTGTATCATTGCATTGTAAAAAGTGTTGATGGTGAAGCATTGGATCTTCAATTTGCTGATCCAATGATCACAACCTCCATCCCTAACCTGGGCAGAAATTAGGTAGGTGCAGACTCGATGGGCTGAAGGACCTCTTTAGTGCTGATTGACTTTAGTCCTAGTGCCCAAGGGTAATGAGGGCAAGATAGTAAGTGTTTGGTATCCAATTGCCTCGACCAGAGAGTATGTGGAACTATTGCCTTGCTGATTCTCATTGTCACTTAGAGTGACCAGACAACAACAAATCGTATGTATCTAATCTTTGTAACCATATTAAATATCTTAAGGTCCTTCAACCCCTGTGAAATGTTGATACTGGCCTGCAATGTCTCTAGTTTACCAACCCCCAATTCTCACTTCCAGAAGGAAAAGCGCAAATTTGTGGATAAAATATTTGCCTGAATGAAAAAGTTGTAGAGATGCAAAGGATCTATGGCGTTGAGCAACATTAGGGACTTTTGATATTGCTGCCTAAGTATCCTGGATTAAGACAAATGTGTGTCATGTTTTGTGTAGCTGGTGCATCTCTGGGATCTATTGGAGGTTATGGATATGAATATTCTTCAGTACAAAGAAACTTTGCTGAGACCAGTGACATGGCCTTTGTGGTGAAAGAAGTAACAACAGGACCCTCTGCAGTTGTGGGTAAGGAACATATGAAATCCACGCAGCAAGGGCTCATGAGCCTGAGTTCTGCATATTGTATATTCTGGACTGGGCTACTTTTGAAGCAGCTCTGATCAGACAGATACCACAAGCTAGGGCTAGCAAATCTGAAAACAACATTCTTCTGAAAACTTGAAGGTTGCAGTGCTAGAGTCACAAATGTTTCTGCAGGACAGAAAGAGACCCTTTGGCCCATTTTGTCTACACTGGCCATTGAACGTTTATCTATTCTAATTCCATGTTCCAGCACTTGGCATGTAACCTTGTAGGTTTTTAATGCAGGTACAAAGTTTTGATGCTACCTTCCTCCTGTTTTCTCAGTTCTCTCCCAAGGACAGGAACTGACTGCAGTGAGGTCCCAGCATACACAGGTTCCTGCCTTGCTCAATGAGCCTAGATTGAGACGAAGGCTACTCAATTTTGGAAGCCATCACTTCTGATCTCCCTACTTTTGTCATTGTATCCCAGACATTAAATTTGTCATCTGAAACTGAGGCTAATTGTTAATTACACTCTGGGCTGGCAAGTGCGGCTGCTGGAAGTGAAGTGTGTGAACAGGCCTTGGCATGGATTAAGATACAGGTAGCAGAGTTTTGCTTAAGTGCAAATGGAAAGAGTGTGGATAGAATAGTATGCATCTTTTGTGCAAAATATTGGAAATGTTGAGACTGGAGGTAACATAGGAAACAAGTGAATGAGGGTTTCAACGACAGAAAGAATTGAAACAGATACACAGACAGGGATGTTATGGAACTGATAGAGGGATACTTGGTGATGATCATGGACATGTGGTTAGGAAATTGGCTCATGGACATTTGACACCCAATCATAAATGGCCTGGTTCATCCTCAAGATAATTCTCTGAAAGAGATGGAGTCTCTCAGTGAAGAATTTTGTTTATGAGTACAATGGGATCTTGATCACCTGGGCTAGTGTGTTGAGGAATGGTAAATGGAGTTTAATTCAGATAAATCTGAAGCATTGTATTTCGATAAGATAAACCAGGGCAGGACTTGCACAGTTAGTGGTCGAGCCCTAGGGAGTGTTGTCAAAAAGAGAGACTTAGGGGTGCAGGTACATAGTTCCTGGAAAGTGGCATCACAGGTAGAGTGGTGAAGAAAGCACCTGGCGTACTTGCCTTCATCAGTCAGAACATTGAGTACACGAGCTGTTAAAACTGTACAAGACATTGGTAAGGCTACATTTGGATTATTGCATACAATTCTGGTCATCCTGCTGTGGGAAGGATGCTATTAAACTGGAAAAGGTGCAACAAAAAGATTTACAAGAAGGTTGCCGAGATTGGAGGCTTTGAGTTGTAAGGAAAGGCTGGATAGGCTGGGACTTCTTTCCCTGGACCGTGGGAGGCTGAGGGGTGACCTTATAGAGGTTAATAAAATCATGAAGGGCATCGATAAAGTGAATAGCCAAGGTCTTTTCCCTAAGACAGGGGAGTCTAAAACTAGAGAGGATAGTTTTAAGGTGAGAGGGGAAAGATTTAAAAGGATCCTGAGGGGCAACTTTTTCACACAAGAGGGTGGTATGTATATGGAATAAGCTGCCAGAGGAAATAGTGGAGATGGGTACAATTACAACACTTAAAAGCCATTTGGATATGTAGATGAATAGGAAAGATTTAGGGGGATATGAGCCAAACACAGGTAATTGGAACTAGTTCAATTTAGGAAACTTGGTCGGCACGGATGATTTAGGCCAAAGGCCTTGTTTCTGTGTTATATGACTCTGAGTCAGTGGTGGAGGTATGCAGCTTACCTAATATTTACTGCTGGCAGTTTTTCTATTGTCCTAGATGTTGAACACGCAGCCTGACAATTTGGTGCGGGTGGGGAAGGAATCTTGTATTTAATTTTGAAGATGTGTTAAATGCTACAGTTTGGAAATAGTTTTCAAGGAATTTATCTTTATTCATTGCAGCCTCCAACACTACCCCATCTGAGGCAGACTCCCAGGATGATTTGGAAAGGCTCAATGCCCGTGGAGATTCCTGGTTACATTCTGTAGAGGAGAGGGAATTGACTGAAGAATCCATATCAAGGAAGTACAAAGGTCGGACAATCTTCAGTGCTGAGCAACTGCGGGTTCTCCAACAGCGTTTCCAGCTGCAGCGATATCTCACTGCATCAGAGCAGCAAGAGCTGGGAAATGCAATAGGACTGACCAGTCAGCAGGTAATGTGTACCCTCAGAGGAGACAAACTTCCGATTCTTTCTGTGAACATGTGAATTAGGAGAAAAATAAGCCATTTGGCCTCTCAGGCTTGCCCCATCATTTAATAAAATCATGTCTGTCCTGTCCACCCCATACCCTTTAACTTTCTTATTGGTCAAGTACCTGTATATCTCTGCCTTAAAAGAAAATCAATGAATCTACTTTCTAGGGGAGACAGTTCCAAAGACTCTGAGAGAAATGACTTATTTTCACTTTGTCTTGTTAGTGACCCCTTATTTTCAAACCTTTGTTGCCTGGTTCCAGCTTCTCCCTCAAGGAAAACATCCTCTGTGTCCATCCTATCATGTCCTTTCTGGATCTTTTATTTTTCAATATAATCACCTCTTGTGCCTGGAAACTCCAAGGGGTTAGACCTAGCTTGTGCAACTGTTAGTCAAAGAAGACCCTGTTCCACGTCCCCAACTATCCCTTGCTCTCCATCCAACCCCACTTTCAACTCACCGCTGCAATACTTTTTCTCCAAAGACAATTCATGGTAATGGCATGTGCAAACAGAAGCCAATGTGTATCACATTGATTGGCATGTGTGGAACCTCCCAATGGCTGCACATCCTTGAGGAAGTATTAACTCACTCAGAGATAGTAAGAATGCTGATACTGGAGTCAGTGATAATATAGTGTGGAGCTGGAGGAACATAGCAGGCCAGGCAGCATTAGAGGAGCAGGAAAGTTGACGTTTCGGGTCAGGACCCTTCTTCAGAAATGGGGGAGGGGGAAGGGACCTCTGAAATACCCCTCCTCTCTCTATTTATTTCAGAGCTCCCTTTCCCCTCTCCCATTTCTGAAGAAGGGTCCTGACCCAAAATGTCAACTTTCCTACTCCTCTGATGCTGCCTGGCCTGCTGTGCTCCTCCAGCCCCACACTGTGCTATCTCTAGAGGGCGTATTGGTCCACAAACCCTACTCCCAGGGATCAAATAAAGTGAACTGCCTCAAATGTGATTGTTGTTTTCCCTAAATATGCCTTTGGATTTTGCTGCCAGTCCTAAATGTGTGTCTTGTGTGGGGTATTCATTTAGACTTGGGCTTCATTTAGACTTTCTTACTGTTTGTAAATTATGCAGACATGTGATCACTTGATAGAAAATTAAAGGTAACTGGTAATTGGTCAGCAGCGTTTTGTGTGGGAGTTGTGATGCGAAAAAGATATTACTAGGTGAATGACTTCTGCAGAGAGCTGGCACAAATACAATGGATGAAATGCCTTTCATAGGGCAATTAAGAGTCAACCACATTGCTGTGGGTCTGGAGTTGTATGTAGACTGACCGAGTACAGACTTGTATATTTCAATTAAGTCACCTCTTAACTTTTCAAACTCTGAGTCTGCTCCATTATTTAATGAGATCATGGCTGACCTGATAATCCTCAATTCCACCTTTCCTGCTTTTTCCCATAACCCTTGATACCCTTACTGATCAAAAATCTGTCTCTCAGCCTTGAATAATACTTCATGACCCAACCTTAATAGTCTTCGGCAGTAAAGAATCCCACAGATTTGCTACCCTCTGAGAGAAGAAGCTCCACCTCATCTCTGTTTCAAATAGGCATTCTCTTACTCTGAGACTATATCCTTTGCACCTAGACTCTCCCACAAGGGGAAACAACCTTTCCACATTTACCCTAAAAATCTTGTAAGTTTCAATAGGGTCACCTCTCATTCTTCTAAACTCCAATGAATACAGGCCCAATCTACTCAACCACTTCTCGTAAGATGACCTCTCCATAACCAGAGATAACAAGGTGTAGAGCTGGATGAACACAGCAGGCCAAGCAGCATCAGAGGAGCAGGAAAGCTGAAACGTCAGCTTTCTTTTTGTGATTAATACTTGTGATTCCAAATCCCTATTCTGTAGGTTTTTGCAGTCTTTCTTTCTTTAAATAATATTTGTCTCTTCTTTTCTTCATCCCAAAGAGCACTACCTCACATTTCCCCACATTACATTCCATTTCTCCAACCTTCCAGCCTTGTACCTAGATTTCCAAAAGGCCTTCGACAAGGTGCCGCACTAGAGGCTACTGCATAAGATAAGGATGCATGGCGTTAAGGATAAAGTATTAGCAAAGATCTGGCAAATGGAATACAATGTAAATAAATGTGAAGTCATACATTTTGGTAGGAGTAATAGTAAAAAGGATTATTACTTGAATGGTAAAAAGTTGCAGCATGCTGCTATGCAGAGGGACCTGGATGTCCTTGTGCATGAATCACAGAAGGTAGGTCTGCAGGTACAACAAGTAATTAGAAAGGCAAATGGAATTTTGTCCTTCATTGCTAAAGGGATTGAGATTAAAAGCAGAGAGGTTATGTTGCAGCTGTACAAGGTGCTGGTGAGGCCACCCACACCTGCAGTACTGTATGCAGTTCTGGTCTCCTTACTTGAGAAATGATGTACTGGCACTGGAGGGGGTGCAAAGGAGGTTCACTAGGTTGATTCTGGAGTTGAGGGGGTTGGCTTATGAGGAGAGACTGAGTAGATTGGGATTATATTCATTGGAACTCAGAAGATTGAGGGGGGATCTTATAGAAACATATAAAATTATGAAGGGAATAGATAAGATAGAAGTAGAGAGGATGTTTCCACTGGCAGGTGAAGCTAGGACAGGAGGGCATGGCCTCAAGATTAGAGGGAGCAGATTTAGGACTGAATTGAGAAGGAACTTCTTCACCCAGAGGGTTGTTAATCTATGGAATTCCTCGCCCAGTGAAGTAGTTGATGCTACTTCAGTAAACGTTTTTAAAGATAAGGTAGATTTTTTTTGAACAATAAAGGAATTAAGGGATACGGTGAGAACGTGGGTAAGTGGACCTGAGTCCACGAAAAGATCAGCCATGATCTTATTGAATGGCGGAGCAGGCTCGAAGGGCCGGACGGCCTTCTCCTGCTTCTAGTTCTTATGTTTTTATGTTCTTTCCTCGTAAGACTCCACCCACCCCATTTCAGGTGTTAAATCAGTCAACCTTCTCTGAAGTGCTTATATTTTTCCCTTTGTGAGGAGACCAATACTGTTGGTCCAGATGGTCCACAGTACGTCAAATGTGGTCTCACCAGTGCCTTGTATAACTGAAACATCCCTTCCCTCTTCTGTATTTCATCCAACTTTCAATAAATAACATTCTATTAGCTTTCCTAATTACTTGCCGTACCTGCATACTAACCTTTTGTGATTCGTGCATGAGGACACTTGGTGCCAAATGAATAAGAAAGTTTTAGAGAGATATGGGTCAAAAGCTGGCAAATGGGACTAGGTTTCCTCCCACAGTCCAAAGATGTGCAGGTTAGGGTGGTTTGGCCGTGCTAAACTGCCTGTAGTGCCCAGGGATGTGCAGGTTAGGGTGGATTGACCGTGCTAAACTGCCCATAGTGTCCAGGGATGTGCAGGGTAGTGGGTTAGCCATTGGAAATGCAGGGTTACGGGGATATGGTAGGGGGTGGGGTCTGGGTGGGGTGTTTTTTGGAGGGTTGGTGTGGACTTGATGGGCCGAATGGCCTGTTTCCCCACTGTAGTGATTCTATGATTAATTTAGGGAAATCAATTGGCATGGACTGAAAGGTATGTTTCCATGCTGTACATCTCTATGATTCTAAATGGCTTAATTCTGCTCCTATATCTTATTAGTCTTATGATCTCCTTTTCAATTTCTGGGATGTTACTTGTATCGTGTATGTTGAAGATTGACCAAAAATATTGGTTCAATTCATTTGCCATTTCCTTATTTTTCAGGTCAGGCTAATTTTTTATTGGACCAATTCTCACTTTTAAATTTTTTTTTTCTTTTTTTAAATGGCTGTAGAAGCTGGTGCTTCCTGTCATTATACTTTTATTCAGCTTTGGTCATACTTGGGTAATCTTTTTCTTCCTCACCAGTCTTTGAGATATTCTTTACTTTTTAAAACCTTCTGTCCTGCCATCCATTTTGTATTTTAACAATTCTAGTTGGCCACAGATGGTGGGTCTCCCCTTTGGCATTTTTCTTGTTGGAACGTATCTATTCTGCGCATTCAGAAAGAAATGTTGCCATAGTCCTACAGGACCATAGGGCTACTCTCTCATTAGAGTTTAACCCAAGGATCACCACGTCTCAGGTGAGGGGAGAGGTTGAGAAGCAGAGTCCTTCATGGTAATTAACCCTGTAAATGTTTACCACTTTGTCTGTATTGGTCTGTCCCTTGACCTGGTTGGCCGGTCTCCTTTAGCTAGCTCTGCTTTTAAGCCCTCTCATTGCCCCTATTTAAGGCAGGTTTAGACCCATTTTTCTGTTGCTCAACCTGTAAGTAAACTTGCATCCTATGATGGCTGTCTTGGGGTGATTGAACTTCTATTAAATTCCATCTGCTGCATTGTTTTGCTAGCTTGACTTGGTCACTTTGCAGTTCATTTCCAGAATCCACAGCATTTCGCTTTTACCTTTACCTGCCTCCAGTATCCTTTGCATAATGAGCAGATGCTGCTTGGCCTACTGAATGTTTTCTGTTTTTTTGTAAAAATGCTGATCCCATTATGGAGAACAATGCGATGTAACTGAGCAAGAGGCTGAAACTTCTGGGATGTGACTTTTCATGAGTTGATGCGTAATTCTGACTCATTCCTATTATGATGTGGTCTTTGTACTCAGGCTGTGTTACATGAAAACTGCTTTTTTGTAATGTACCCCAGGTTAAAGATGTATAAATAGAGTGTTAATGGCAAAACCCTGTGAATAGTACAGCTGTGATTGTCCAAATCTTTCACACCTTCCTCCAGCTAGACTTGTTGGAGCCACTGCTGCCTTTGTTCTGCTAATGAGCTGCTCAGGACCTGAGGCCTGCACTGGGAGCTTCCTCTCGTCAAGGTGGTTGAGCTGGCCAGAGGCTTTGCAAACCATTGCCTAAATGGTATAGCTTCAGGTCCCAGCCCCAGTATAGAATTGAACCACTACTCCAGTCTGGAACTTGGTGCTGCATCACTGGAGATGCTGTCTTGCAGTTAAAGCCTGAAAATAAAATTCCTCTTGCAGATTTATAAAAAAGTGCATATTGCTATTTTCCACTCCTAGTTTCTTCTGTGGTTTCACTAAACTTCAGCTGAAATTACCTTTGAAATTTTAGATGTCTCTTGAGATGGGTAACTGTAGAAATTTTATGCCTGAGAAAATAGTCTCTTGACCCAAAAGGTACAGGGTTAATTTACATTAAATCCTTGCTGAACCTGATGGGGGAGATGTTGAGGGGTTATTTCTCTCAGCTGTGGAGCCTGGAACTGGCTGGGAGTCATAAAGTCATACTGCGCAGGAAAGGCCCTTCAGCCCATCAAGTCTGGGTGGGGGGCAGAGTCAGGACACAGGTGGGAATAGTCTCAAATGGGCTAGTCATTCCAAAGTGGGAAGAGGAGGCATTTCTTTACTCAGAGGATTGTGTGTTTATGGGATTAGCTACCCTCAGAATTGTGATTAATCAGCTGCTGAGTTTATTTAACCAGGATGCTGAGATTTCTTTTGAGACATAAGTCAACTTGACGTCAAATTTCAGCCGCAATCTTCTTGAATGGCAAAGTAGGCTTGAAAACCCAAAATGCCTGTCCCTAACCCTTCTGGATGTCACCCCCTTGCACTCTGTTGTAATCGTTTTTTTATTCAGTACAAACAAATGAGGCCATTTGGCCTGTCGTATCTCTGCAAGATTTCATCAGCTCAGCGCACTCCCTGGCTTTCCTCTACCTGGCGTAATATTTATTTTTATTTTGTTTTGCCTTGTTTTTTCTAACAACATGTCTCTCCTCACTATTTTTCTCATCGGGGGTGTTTAACCAGTGTCTTTAATGTTTGTTCCTGCCCTAGGATGACCGAGTTGTGACTGTGTACCAGCTAATGCAGGCTTTCTGATGCTCTGGGAGTGCTCTGAAGCACTAAGACTTTCTATTTAAAAATACTTCTTTTTTCTTAGGTGAAGACGTGGTTTCAGAACCGTCGCATGAAGGTGAAACGTCTTCTAAAGGAACCAACTGCCAGCACTCAAATTAGCTTCCTTCAAGCAGACCTGTCTCAGGTGAATTAATGTATAGTTAGTGATAACGTGGTCAAACATTCTAAATTGCTGAATTAAGACTATTCTGTTGGGGCTGTAGATTTAAATCCCACTGCTGTCCTCAGGTAATCTTATTGAGACGAGATGAGCATGTGGATGACTGATGTTATTGAGGGGCAGTATAGCCTGTTTCTGCTCTAAATTAATTTGTTCGTATGCACTAACTGAATTCACCAGGCACTGTTTTTCACTGGAAGGTTGTGTTTTTGGGAGCAGGTCTTTGCTCTTTCAACCCTGTCTTCCTTCTACATAATTTGTGAACTTTGCTAAAAATGTAAATTGCTCAGCAAATTGTGAACATAGGAGATAAACTTTCTGCAGATAAAATTCTGTTCAGTAAGAATTCAGTAAGAATTCAGTAAGAAAGGTATAACCCTACTGCAATCCTGAAAAAGGGTAATATCTGAAACGTTGACTGCTTCTTTCCTCCAGATGCTGCCTGGCTTGCTGTGTTCTTCCAGCCTCCTCTTTGTCTCCCTTGCTACAGGCCTGGCCTGCTGAGTGTTTCCAGTTCAGATTTCAACATTTAATAGTTACCTATCAACATCCTTTCTCCCCCTGCACTGCAACCTTGCCCCTCACCCCACTATAGCATAAATGCTGCCTTCTCCACACTTCATTTCAGCTCTGATGAAGAGTCATCTAGACTCAAAACGTTAGCTTGCTTTTTCTCCGTCGATGCTGCCAGACCCGCTGTGATCTTCAGCACTTTTTCTATTGAATGATACAGTCTGCTTCAATCTCCATGCACACCAGAAACTGTACAAAGATAATTTTTTTCTGATTGGTCCTAATCTTGTTCTAAACAGCAACTGATAATTCCTTAATAAAAACCAGAAGAACTGATAATTCCTTCACTGTTTCTCAATCATGAATTTCCCAGCAGATGTGAAATACGAACCACCCTTTCCCCAAATTTTAAATTATTCTAACAAACTAGCCTGTATTCTTTCTTCCCAAGTGTGTTCTCGGGCAGGGTAGAAATCATAAATTAAAAGAGACAATGCTCTGAATGACTCCAGTCTGGCAGAATCTGATAACATTTTCAGGTCTGTGCCCCAGGAAAATGTTTGTGTAGATTTTAAACAAGTGAGTCAAACTCCAATGCTTGTTTGTTCCATCATGTGCTACTGTACAGGACCAAACTGCTTTAGTGACTATATGTGTATATAAAGATATTTTTATGAATAAAGTATATTTTTGAAATAAAAAGAATTAAACAAGTGAAAGATGGGAGATTGGAAGCAAGAACAAAACCAAATTGAGGTCTGGGATAACGTTAGATTAGAGCATAGATTTTAAAAAATGAAATAAGACAAATTGTATTTGATTTCTGTTGTATTTACACTAGTTTTCTTTCTTGCTCTTCACAGAATAACTCGGTGGTTTATGGGAAACCAATGGATAATATGAAGCAACAGTTTACCAGCTATTCACTGTCACATCTGCTGCCCAGGCATCTGGTGCCATCTCCTGACAAGCACTGGCCCAGTGCAGGTCCTGTATATCCAAATCTGGGCAAGTTCCAATCCACAGTTATCAAAAGTGAGTTGCAGTACACCAATCAGTCTGTCAACTTTTCCATCAAGAAAGAAGCTATTGCACTCTCTTCTCGGCCAGAGCTGAAGCAAATGAAACTCCCAGCGACATCCTACAGTCACACCATCCCAGTGCAACACTTTGATTTCTCACTGCAGCAAGCCTTGCCTGGGCCTCCGTACCTCCAGCAGGGCCTGCCATATGAGGTGATCAAACCTGCAGGGGATGAACTTCATCATGAAAAAGTTATAATTTCCTAGAGCCCCTATTTGGCTGAAAAAAATAACCTTTTGATTGCCACATTCCTAGTAATAGGTGTCATTAGGCTGCAGAGGTGAGTTCTTGCACTCCAAAAAGCAGCTCTCACTGCACAGAGATGCATTAAGACCCGGCCCTGCTTTCTTTCATTGCAGATCCTGTGGACAGACTCTTCCCTCGACCGTCAGGAAATATGCTCTGTGTTCTCCGCCATATTTGACACTGATTCCAAAGGTTTCCCAAAGCTTAGTCGAACCATTCTGGAAGGGATTGCATTTATGTTTTAATCTAATTATATTTTTACATTTCTGAATGAAATTGCAAAAAGCAAACTTTTAGGAAAAATCATTTAATTTGTAATCAGGTTGTCCTTATTTTAAATGTTCTTCTGGTCAGTGATCATTGATTACACTAGGTCTGGCTGGCTGTTTATAATCTGAGAGCTGCCAACAGTGACTCATTCCTGGCACCCACCAATGGTGGCCCTCTGACCTTGCAGCTTTGTGTTGGGTATGAGGAAGTGAGGAAACTCCTATCAGCTGGCACCGGCTCCATGGCATCTCCATGTGAATTTCTATAACTGACCATGAAACTGTCATTGTTCCAATCTGGCCCATCATCATTGGACACAGTCTGGCACAGCATGGGGCATCTGTTGTAATAGTCAACTTGAGTCGGATTTAAATATTCCATATTTTTAAACCTTTCCTGTATTGTTAACAAAATGATGGTTAAAGACTTCAATAAAGCTGAAAGATTCCATCTGAGTCATTGTGTAACTCTAATTAAATTGCTCTGCACAGTCAAACGTTCAAACTGTCCTTGGAAACTTCCATTGCTGTAGCACCTTCCATTACCTCAGCATGTCCCAAAATGCTTCACAGCCCATGGACTACTTTGAAGCAAATTAATTTTAGGTGCAGCAAACTCCCAGCTGTCTAATCTGTTTGAACATTAAAAATTATAAAGACTCGACTCATGACAACGTTCATGGAGGGAGAACCAGGATTAAGAGTTCCTCATAGCTGGAAAAAAGTTAGGTATTTTGAGTTATAAACAGTGCAAGGAAATGAGGTTAGAAAAGAAAATGGTAGATTGGTGAGATGGTAGAGGCAGAGATAATGCAGGGATGACGATACACAACAGAAGGCAATGCTAATGGAGCAAATGAAGAGAAAGAAATAGGTCTGGGGACTCTGTAAACATCGGATATGTTTCCAACACAGCTCTAGAGGGTTTTGGAGCAATTGCCATGATCTAGAATTGAACTCCTCTTGCCAAGGAGGCTGTGCAGTACCTAATCTGAAATAAAACATGATGTTTCTCTAACTTCTGTTTACCGATGATGTGGAGGTGCAGGTGTTGGACTGGGGTGGACAAGATCAGAAGTCACACAACACCAGGTTATAGTCTGACAGGTTTATTTGAACTAACACACTTACAAACCTGTCGGACTACAACCTGGTGTTGTGTGACTTCGAGCTTCTGTTTAGCATCACTGGAATAGCATAAAGGAGACTGAGAAACTGAGTGTGCTGAAGAGTTACAATGATGACCTCACTAAGCTCAGGGTTAAGTTTAAAACTGGATGCACTTGTGTTGACTGATTAATAGGATCTGCAGCCAATTCAGTAAAGAGTTTATGATGGATCTAACACCCAACCTTGTGCTAATGATGTGACAAGATGTTGAATCTTTGCAGGGAATATTTTGCTGCAGGTTAGTCAATAAGACATAAGAACGGAAGTAGACTTTTCAGCCCATCAATTCAACTGCACCATTCAACGAGATCATGGATGATCTGCGAATCCTGAACTCCACTTTCCTGCCTTTTCCCTGTAACCCTTGATCCCCCGCTTACTGACTAAAGTTCTGTTATCCTACAGAAGTTATTCTTTTCAATTGTAACTTCTAAAAGGAAGTGAAGAAATACTTAAAGGGGAGATTTTTCACCTGGGGAAGACCAGGAAGTGGGATTAATCAGATAGATCTTTCAAAGAGCATATACACGCACATTGGGCTAAATGGCCTCCTGTGTTGTATTGTTTTGACTTTGCAACTGGGGATTCAGAACCACCCGATAATTTTCAGTTCTAATGAATCTAAGCCTGACAGAATCTGAACTGCAGATTCGACAACTCTTATCCTGTGACAAACCTTACCCTGAGCTTCACCAGCCACCGCTTAGAATATTCATACTCTTAACATTTTCCCCAATCTTAATGAAATGTTATCAACCTGAAATATGAACTTGGTTTTTCTCTCTCCACAAATATTAACAGAGCAGCTGAGTGTTTCTCTTTTATTGTTGTTTCATATCGATTCAGAGGAGACCAGCTCTCTCGTTTTCTCTACACAGACGTTGGCTAATCTGCTGAATTTACAAGTTTTATTTCTCACTGCAGATTTAAAACAATTTGACAAATGGGCCAAATGTGAAAAATACTTTGAGTGACAGGCTGAAGAAAAAGAGCAAAGTTAGAACTCTGACCTTTAGTGTGAATCCATCTCTCACCATTGAAAGGACCGCAAGGTGTCAACAGGATTGGAAAAGCAAAGGATGCTGAAAATCAGAAACAAAAACAGAAATTGTTGGAAAAACTCAGCTGGTTTGGCAGCATCTGTGGAGAGAAACAGAGTTAATGTTTCGGGTCTGGTGACCCTTCTTCAGAAATACATATGTTGGCCTTTTGACGGTGACAAGGAGAACTTTATTTTAAAATTGTACTCTTGGCTTTAAGAATATTGACCTAGATTACAAAAATATATGGCATGGAGAAACTCATTCTGCACATTGGATTAGCCCGTCAGAGGCAGTGCAGAAGACAAAGGAGTAGAAATAGGCCATTCAGCCCATCAAGTCTGCACCACCATTCAATGAGATCATGGTTGATCTGATCATCCTGAACTCCACTTTCCTGCCTTTTCCCCATAACCCTTGATTCCCCTCTCACAGATTAAATTTTTATTGGTGTATAGGAGAAGTTGTTCTTTGGCAATGGTTGCTGTGGTTAAAATTGGTTCGCGTCTGTAGTTCTGATGTAGGGTTACTGGACCTGAAATATGAATTTTTGATTTCTCTCCACAGATGCTGCCAGACCTGCTCAGTTTATTCCCAGAAATTTCTGTTTTTGTGCCAGAAAGCTTATTGCGATGTGTTTATGTAAACAAAACCAAGCACCATATCAGCATCATAGGAGCAGGAAGGCTGACGTTTTGGGCCTAGACCCTTCATCAGGGTCCAGACCCGAAACATCAGCCTTCCTGCTCCTCTGATGCTGCTTGGCCTGCTGTGTTCATCCAGCTCTACACCTTGTTATCTCAGATTCTCCAGCGTCTGCAGTTCCTACTATCTCTCAAGCACCATATCACACTGGACTAAGAACTGAAAGGTGGGATTACTGGTTGGCACCTTGTTGGACAGCATGGAAACAGTGGGCTGAATGGCCTCATTCTTTGCTCCACATTTCTATCGTCAACCTGGATTTGTGAGATAAAGGAGGAATCAGCCAAAGTTCTTTATCATTGTCCACTAACAATGTAGTTGGGTCTGTATTATAGACATGAGTCAATTGTAGTTCCAGCAACCATTGCCAAAGAACAACTTCTCCCATCGGGCAAGAGAACCTTTCTCAGAGGGGAAATCAATGGTTATGGGGATAAGGCAGGAAAGTGGAGTTGAGGATGACCAGATCAACCATTATCTCATGGCTGGTGCATATTTGATGGGCTGAATGGCCTACTTCTGCTATTTGTTTTCTGCACTGCCTCTGGGGGGCTAACAATAAAGGCTATTCTATTCTAACCCACTATTTAGGAGAGGGTTTCTCCTCACCGCTTGTTTTTCTAATCAGTATTATTATTAACGCCGAATGCAATCCGTTTTGTTTTAAAATGAAGTTCTCCGTGACTATCAAAAGTCCGAATTATGCATTTCTAATTTCGGCAATTGCGTTTGTAAAACGAACAAGAACGTAAGGAAAACCGAAAGAACTATGGATGCTGTAAATCAGTAACAAAAACAGAAGTTGCTGGAAAAGCTCAGCAGGTCTGGCAGCGTCTGTGAAGATAAAGTCAGAGTTTCGGGTCCAGTGACTCTTCCTCAGAAATTCCTCAGTCACCGGAACCGAAACGTTAACTCTGATTTTATCTTCACAGATCCTGCCAGACCTGCTGAGCTTTTCCAGCAACTTCTATGCGTGTGGAATCTAAGGAGTTGGAGATTTGAGGAGATTAATGTAAACATTCAGAAACTGCTGATACCTGAAGCATATTCCACACCTTCGCCGCCGCTCGTTTGCATTTGAATCGATATGGCCAGTGAGGCGTGAAAACTAGGGACATAAAAACCTGCTCATTGGCTGCTTCACAAACCCGAGCTCCCCCAAACAGACAGGATCGAGCCCCTGCATATAGACTCTTCTTCCCCCTCTCACTGCAATGGAGCAGCAATATCCCCAGCTTCTGCAGGATTTACAGGAGGACGGCTACAGCAGGCAATTTCTCGCCTACAACCGGATTGATTGTGACTTCGGCCCCTCTTGTCAGAGCCTGTCCGGCAGCGAGAAGGTGCAAGAGGACGATCAAAGCCCTCAGCGTGAGTGAGATACTCCTGAGGCCTCAGGGAGCGAGAGGGGAGGCAGGAAGGGAGAGGAGAGGGGGGGTTACGGAACGACAGGAGGGGCGAGGGACAGGGAAAAGGAGAGAGAGGAATGCGGGAGAGGGTAGAGTGGGACAGGGGTGAGGGTGACGGAGAGGGGGGTTGTGGGGGGCCAGCGAGTGGAGGGAGGGGGAGTGGGGAGGGATGGGAAAGGGGAGTGGAGGGAGGGAGGGGAGGGTGAGAAACAGGAGGGGGAGGTGAGTGAGGGAGAGAGAGGATGAGGAGGGTAAAAAGGAGGGAGGAGAGAATGGATGTTGAGGAGGGGGAGAGGGATAGAAGAAGGAGGGAGAGACATGTTTTAACACGTTATTGCCCAGCAGTTGTATTAACGCTGTTCACAGGATGGGAAAGGTACGTAGTGAGTAACTGTTGGTGTCCTCCCCAGCTCCTGGGTACAGCGCCTACTGTGGGACTACAGTGAGATCTACCCGGAATCTCAGAGATCCCGGGGCGGGAGACTGGGATCCTCCAGGTGAGCAATGACCGAGATTTACCCCGGGAGCCTCTGAATCCATTGGTTTCTTTGGTGGGTGGATGGTTTTACCTGAGAAAGTGCTCCTGGTAAATCAAGCCCATCTCAGACAAGAAATGAATGGGACCGCGATCGAGAATTTCGTGTGTGTCTCTGTCTGTGTGTGCCTGGAGTTCTCACTGTCCTGATTTGCACGGTTCAGGTGTGGGGCTCCCGAGCCCCGTGACCAGCAGCGACCATCGAGAAGAGCAAAAGAAAACACAATCCCCCAAGAGCCGGGTCCGAACTGTATTCAGCGAGGAGCAGAAAAAGAAACTGATGCAACGGTTTCACAGGCAAAAATATATCTCTCCACAAGAGAGGACAGAGCTCGCCACCGCCCTGGGACTGAACTGTAAACAGGTAAGAGAGACCTGCTCCTCCGTGCGGGTTACTGTCGATCACACCAATAGGAGCAGAGAGTGAGACTCCTGTCTGAAAGTACACGGTCTGGCGGAGAACAGCCCTTCCATCCTAATGGATACCGATGGGCTGAACGGTCTCCTGCACGGACAGCTCAGTGATTGGTTGGAGAGGTTATAGAATCTGTTCTCCTCCGGGGCCAGTATCAGAGACGTTGAGACCAACGGAAGTGA